TGATGCCAGTAGCTCAGGTTCAGTTCCCACACCAGCTGAGGTTACCATGAAGATCCTGCCTGAGAAACCTCGTACATGGTCTTAAGTGTGTTGACCCTCAAATTACACTCAACAGCGGTCACCTCTCTCTTATAAGAAATGGGACTATGACGACTTCATTTTCACCAGATGATTAGTGACAAGCCTTTCTTTGCATCTGACATGCACCAATTTACTGGACAATAATCTGAATAATATGTCTAACATCTTCCCACAGATTATAAGGCCTCATTAACTTCTACATTTATTAATGAACTGTTAGCAGGATCTAAGACACATTAATTATACAGGGATTACTGATGAAATAACTGTTTTCCCACTTGCTTTTTTTTGTTCTTATATTTTTGCTTTAGAGGGCTGGTTTGATGGGACAGTGAGATTGTGTCCCTAAAATCTTCCACCTGAGCAGTAAAATGCATATGCCAAAGTTCACAGAGAGTGCAAATTTTAAATGCAGAAATTTTCGCAATCAATAATCACTAAATGTATGATTACAAAATGCCAAAAGCATTGTCTTTAATCCTCGAGATGCCCTATGCAGCCCATTTAATATATTAAATGTTGAAAGATTAAACTCTTGGCATGAAGAAAGTGAATGTTTTGTGAACATATATTTCAGACATGGCTTAATTTTTAATTGTTAGTCGACATGCCTCTTAACCTATTGAATAAATCGCATTTTGGGAAAATGTTGAAATCTATTTTGTTATGTAGAAAGTAGCAGGAAACTTGAGGCTTGACACAAGTCCAGTGGATTAAGGAAAACCAGCAAAATGTAGTTTTTGATTTTGAAAATACATTTGATGTGGTGCCATCTATATGAGCTTATGATTTTGGGGATGATAAACATGTATGTATGGAGGACTAGTTAACTAACAGAAGACAGAATAAGTGAATCATTTTCAAGCTGGCAAAAAAAGTGCAAAAATGCTTTGGGAACATGGATACAAATCCCACCATGACAGTTGGATGAATTTGAACTGAATTAATGCAATCTTGAATTCAATACTGAGCGCAGTAATGCTGACCATGAAACCTTCACCAATTGTGTCTTTGAAAAATTTTGTTTTACTTGTGTCTTTCAGGGAAGAAATTCTGCCATTCTTACACGGTCTAGTCTCCATGTGACTTCAGACTCACAGCAATATGCTTGACTTGTAACAGTCCTTTGAAATGTCCTAACAAGTCATTCAGATTAATGATATTTAGGGATTGGCAACAAATGCAGTGGCAAAATTCTAAATGAAGAGAGACTGCGAAATGCTGGCTTACAAAGGGAGCTGGGTACATGAATCACAATTGTCAGCATGCAGCTTCAGCAAGTTAATAGGAAGACAACTGGATTTCCGACCTTTATTGCAGGCAGGGAGGTGGGGCAGTATAAAAAGAAGGGACATCTTGGTAAAAACATCCAAGGCATTGGTGACGCTACACCTAAATATACTGTATACAGTTCTGGTTGCTTTACTTTAGGAGGGACATATTTGCACTGTTAGCAATACTAGAGTAGGTTCAATGGGCTGATTTCTGTGGCAGAAGTTTGTCTTCTGAGGAAACATTGAGCAGGCCTGTCCTAGATTTATTGGAGTTTAGAAGAATGAGAGATAATACTATTAAAACAAATAAGATTCTGAAGGGTCTTAACAGGATAAATGCTGAGTAGATGCGTTCTCTTGTGGAAAAAACAAAATAAGAGGCCTACATTTATGAAAGAATGGAGAAGGAGTTTCTTCTCTCAGGGTAATTAGTATTTGGAATTCTCTGCCATAGAGAGCATTGGAGGATGGATCATTAAATATGTTGAAGGCCAAGCTGGATGGATTTTTAACTGACAAAGTCATGGGTTACGAGGGTCAGACAGGAAAGTGGAGTTAAGGCCATAATCAGATTTTATCTGGCAGAACACACTTAAGGGGTCAAATGATATAATTCTGCTCCCATTTCTACTGTTCTGTTAGCATGTTGTTACTTATTTTGTGACCATCCTTCATTTTTCATTTTCATCCTTTGCTACAGTTCTACTTGCAACTTAAGATTTAAAACAAAAACACTCTTGACTGTTTTCGATTGTCATTCATCTGACCTGTTTAGCATCAATACCAGTCGATATAAATTGAATAAAAAGTGAACTAACTTGTCTTCAATCTTTGCAGTTGACCAAAGTGAATTCTCCAACCTTTTTTTAAATGTACTATATGGAAACAACCTTTCTCAGTATCTGGTGAAAGTTGCAACATTTACAACATTATTGACCAAAAGCGAATAAACCCATTTATTCTTCAACAGGCAGTGAATAATTTTAGGAAATATCCATAATTCTAAAGAATCTTGAAATTACAGGGAAGCCACTGATCTTTTTTTCATGTATTTTCTCCTTTCTCCATTTTAAAATGTAAGTTTGGTAAGTTTTGGAATTAAGATTGATTGTTCCATTAAGAACATTGAAATGTGTGTCATTTCTCATGGCATGTTGACATTTATTTCCAACCATTGTCCTTCGTGGCCAACATGTATAGGAAAAGGGAGTAGTGTTAGAAAACATCTTCAGTCAACATCAGACCTTTGTGACCTTCTCAGAATCAATAGTGTGGAAATATATAAACAACAATTGCAATATTATTGGTTCAGCTCTGTTTGGAAATGAATTAAAGCAGCAGCAAAATATAATAATTTGGTGTGTACATTTATTTTAAATACCAGATTTGCAAGAAATGTGAAATCCATGTTTACTTAGTTGCCCTTTTTCAGATCTGAAATCTCTAATCAGCTCTTCTTGCTTTAATTGTTTCCATGGAAATATTGAGCACTCATCAAAAGCAGAACCACTTGTGTGGTGCGCACCTGAAAGTAAATTATCGTGCAAGATGATATGGGAAACTCCATCATCTTGAATATCAGCAACCATTTTCTGACCTGTGTCGAGTAAATTATTCTTGCTTTCTCAGTATTTAAAAAACATGCTTCTTTTAATTGCCCCAAATGTTAATTTGTTTTCAAAATTGCTTGATAGATCCAAGCTAAATTAACTTGTAGGTTATTCAGTCTCTGGGGCACTTTTATTATCTCGAAGAATGACAATCAGTTCTATTTGGTTTTGTACTGATACCGGTGACTTTCACCTTTTCCAATGGATCCCCAGAGCCAAAGATAGTAGCTAGCTCAGATATTGAGTAATTGTTCACAGTATTTTGGTCGCACTTAACTAGAAACAATTGTTAACAACTTTGAGGTTCATTTCTTCTGCTAGATGTAAAAGCTTGTTGCCATTAATGAATTTTGATGGTGAAATCCATTTTACTGGCGTACATGTACAATTTTAGTTTTTTGTATTTCACTTTGCTTAGCTTATCAACGACAAGTTTGGCAGTGGGTGTTTAATCAGGTGTTAGGGTATGAAAAGGAGACACTGCTGTCTTCTAATTGCCAACTGATCAAGACCTATGCAGAAAGCTGCATGAACGGCCTTTCTGCCCAGATGCTAATTGACAACGTTCTAGTCTCATCATATTGCTGCTGGTATTCACCCTATGGTAGGCAGGAAGTCGCCACTTGAGTATCCAAGAAACAGGCTTTCAGGGAATGATCCCTTGTTCAAAGGCACTTATTGTCCGGTCAAGTGACCTGGCATCAGGAATGGGACAACTCAATGAGAGGAGTACTGTGCTTTTTCTTCTGACCTCCATCCGTCCTTGTTCAACTGTGGTTTGAGTCCCCGTTTATCCTGCGCATCTCCTTGCAAGCTTTACCAACAACAGCCATGACTCTGAATCTGTTGGCATTGGAGAGCTGCCAGCTTTGCAGAGGGTGGGATTTCTACCACTGGGGCCCTGAAGCTCAGGAAAGACCTGATACTAGCCAGTTAAATGCTTGATTGGAACTTAAGTCTGGTGGGCCGTCTCCAATGGAAGCAATGTAGAACCTACATTGGTTCTCTTGCCAGTGGGTGAGACACCTTCCGCTAACATTAAATTCTACCCATAATGTCTGTAGGCTAGATTGCGCACTGACAAGTATGTAGCTTTTATGGTAGATTTAAAGTGGCTTCCTTCTGACTTCTTAAGAAGACTAATTGAACAGAGTTGTGCACTATTATTTTATTCAGGAGCGTAGGATCATTTTCAAGTTCCAGCTCACGTGGGTCTGCGGTGTGCCCTCAGACATGATATTTAGTAAGATAGCCTCCTAATTGACCAGTTTGGTGTCTTGTGCTTCTGTTAAGAACAATGGGCCAATTTCTGAGGCTGAGTTGGCAATTTCCCATTCAGAAAACCCACAGCAAACACTGGCTTGCAGCCACACGGGTTGAGGTGAGCAATAAGGTGGCAAGCACAAAGACAGCAAAGATACCTCAAAGTAGAGCTACCCTCTGATTATGTACTATGTTGTTAAAAAGTTACAGGGACACAACTGTCAGTACAGAGGGGCAGCCGTTCCACAGGTCTATGGCTGTGGCCCTCTGGCATCCACTGCTGGTCGGTGGGAGGAGAAGGTCAATAAAACAGGCCTCTGGGCTTGGTACTCGTGAGAGTCTGCTCCAGGTCTGAGAAGATCTCATTCTCCTCAGACCCTTAATTGATCTTTAAAAGCTGCCTGTCAATACTGGATAGTTAGTTGATACTCTAATCTGAAATTTTGCTTCGAGGTGCCCCTTTAAATCTGCTTCTGCAGAACCAGGAAGATTCACCTTTTATTTTCATCCAAATGTGACAGAAACAAGTATTTTTGTTTTCTGGTGAGAGGATGATGTTTGGAATGTATTGTGAACATGAACATGGATAAGTTCCAGCTTGTAAATAATGTTTTTTAACAGCATTAACAACAACCAAATACATTTGACTAAATTCATGAACTGTGATTTTCCTCATTGTGTATCAGTACTCATATGCTTTAGGTTACAAGGACTGAAATGGGGTCTGAATTTCATGACATTTGGCACTAAATATACTTTTTTTTCCCTTTAGGAATCTATGGACCAGAAAATTGGGCCACATCTTACATGAACTGTTCTGGCATCAAGCAGTCCCCAGTTGATATTATAGATCAGAAGAGTCATGAAAAGGATATCTTGCAGCAAATCTATCTTGAGGGATTTGAGATTGAGTCCTCGAATAGGACTTGTATGAAAAACACTGGAAAGACAAGTAAGTTTGTTAGTATGGATAAGCAATGCTTTTCTGGTCATTTAAACTACCATCAAACATTTGGGGACATTTAAATGAAATCAAGCATAAAAAAAGCCAGTACGGTAGGAAACTAAAACGTCACAAAATATTACATTCTTCAAACTATGTCATGATAGTGAGGTCCTCTACGGGTACTGTGTTATATGTTATGTGGTCCTAAATTTGCATTGCTGAATCACTTCAACATGTTTCATGAACTAATTGCAACTTCGTTTACCATAGAATCCACCTGTTTGTAGGGTGGCTGATTTCCTGAACTCTGAAGGTGCAATTATAAATAGCTTTGTTTAAATATAATTTATGTAAGTGAGCCTTCAGCAGCAGTTTAAATGTCAATTTGATTTCTTGCCAGCGACCACTGCTCACCCTAGTGACTCAGGAAACAAGTTTGCAGACAATTGGGAGCAATGCTTCCGGCAGGCATGTTCGTTGTTACAATTCAGGTTTCCTCCGAATACTCTGAACTCATGTTCACAGCAAAAAGGCTGTTTCCCACAAGCAAAGCCTTAGTCTCGTATGAACTGAAACTTGAAGCTTTTTTCAGGATATGAATGGGATAGCATGCCAGAGAATTTCTTTTCTCTCTGCAAGGGGAACTATCTGGACTGTTCAACCTGTTGTACTGTCCACAGGTGGTGATTATTTTGCTGCAAGAATGGATTGTTCAGATTAAAACTAGGGGTTGAATTTTCACTCCCGAGGCTGGTGTGCAGAGTCAGGAAAATTCTTCCCTCTCCAATCCAACTTGATAAAATAATTCATTGAGATGTGTTATATTTTTGCTCCAGTGTAGGGGCTAACGGGAGTCAGATCCTATTCTCTCACATAAACATTGTGGAGGCAACCCAACAGGGCAGCCAATTGTTAAGTTTAAAAGACCTGCTTCGTTGCTCTGGGACTCTGCCTATAATGATAATCATGATGAATACATGATGAACTTGCCCCATGGGAAGTTACCTCTTATGAACACGGGTAGGGAACAACAGGTAACAACTCCTTCGGAAAAATATTCTCAGATGTTAAAGATCACGTTAAGTATCCAGAAGCATTATGGAAAACTGGCAACATACGTTAATGAACAGCTTGAGTCACCTCATTAGTCACCAAGTGCAAAGACGAAGCATGCTTGAATTTTGGCTGGAATTATGCTTCATTGATGGATCAGCAGTTGGGATTTGACTAGTTTTATCTCCTCTCTCAATCTATAGGCTTAACTACATTAAAAAAAATTTAAATGATGTGATTTGTGATTAAGTTAGGTTTCAAAAACTTAACAATGCCAATGTAGAAGACTGGCTGGGAGAGAGATGCCTCATTCCAATCAAAAACATAGGTTTTTCTTTGGATTTTTATTTAATCTCTCTGCAATGCAGCAGTTTGGGGGGGGGGGGGGGGGCACAGTGGCTCAGTGGTTAGCACTGCTGCCTTACTGTGCCAGGGACCCAAGTTCAATTCCACCCTCAGGCAACTGTGTGGAGCTTACACATTCTCCCCCTGTCTGTGTGGGTTTCCTCCAGGTGCTCCAGTTTCCTCCCACAGTCCAAAGATGTGCAGGTTAGGCTGGATTGGCCATGCTAAATTGCCCATAGTATTCAGGGATGTATCAGTTAGATGAGTTATGAGGGATGGGTCTAGGTGGGATGCTCTGAGGGGCAGTGTGAACTTGTTGGGCCAAAGGGCCTGTTTTCACACTGTAGAGATTCTATGATGATGATGATCTGTTTTCAACTCAATCAACATAACTTTCATCTTCACTTTTCAGGCACAATGCTGGTCTGGCTTAGATTTTTTTTTCCCCAGTTGGATATGAGTTAAGTGAAACTCAGGCAATTTCACAATGAGTTGTTCATTACCTGAATGATGAGGATGAAAATTACCCCTTTATTTCAATCACTGGGTAATTTATTTTAAAATCACATTCTCTGATGTACTGCAGTCAGATATCAGTGTTGCCCATGCAAGGTGACAATATTTTTGTAGGTGAGGCTGATACGCTACACTGTTCAGTGTTATACATTGCCTCTAACTTTGCGGCTCTGCCTTGACTACTTTGTTGCTTAGGAAAATGGGAGAAATAAATGTGTTTTGACTCAGACTGAGCATCAGTAATCCTTTAAGAGATATGCTAATAATATCATCACTGCATCATAGCATGTGACCTGCTGATATAAAGACCTTAGACTTCATCTTGACTAGGATCAGTTGAAGCATGGCATGCTCCAAGAAGCAGGCTGCTCTCTGTAACTGAATGGCTTGATTTTCGTCCAGACACTTAAGTGCTTGTGAACATAATATTTGGTAGTTATATTATATAATATTATAATATAATATATAAATATATTTGTCAGCTGTAATGTGGGTTCTATGGATTCTTAAATAACACTGCATTCACATTTAATTTTGTATGTTCTAAGGGGTAACATAAGCATTGCTGTACCAGATAAAATACCCTGCTGGAGGTGAACTCAAAGTAATAAACCAGGATTATATATGCAACATTATTTATCAGAATGTTGTACTTTCGACCAGCTCTGTGAAAATTTCTACAATTTGGATGAAACATAACCTCACCAAACGGAGTTATGAACTGAGTAATTAATCGATTGGATATGCAACTTTTCAGATTCCTTGCTAATCTTTACATTATTAGTAACATTTGTTCCATTCTTTTGTGCTTATTTTGAGGAAGTGGCACAGCATGACAAGAAACTAAGTTCAACTGAGGCTGAAATGTTTGAATTTTTAAGACATTAATAGGAGTATTCCTCAAGTATTTATAGCAATTTTCAGCAAATACTGATGCAAATCTTTTGCGGTGTTGAAGTAGTGACCTTTGAAATAAGACAAAATGTACAGTGCGGATGCAATTGCCGCTGAAAGTTAATATTAAATTGTATTTGAAATTAGTCAGGAAGTGTAATTGCTGAAACAGGCTTTAAGATTTCACACTTGGTTAGAATTGTAATTTTTTTGTGGCTTTGTGAAATGAAATGTGTGGCTATGTTTGGTCTAATACCCTATTTACTTTGTAGCTTTACGATCCGTGTCAAAATAAACAAGACAACGCGAATATTGTTCTAAGATGGACACACCATCGAAATAAATGGTGCTGAACCTCTAGCTGTAGCTTTTTCCCCAAAATAACACAAATACCTGTTGGTAGAGTTTGACATATTTGGATTATGGCATGCTGCATTTCAAAGCCCTCACTCCTGCTTTGTTCATGCCAGTGATATAATCATGCTTTCATTAACTAGTGAAGAAGGTCGAGCCCTCTGCCTGTGGGCAATTATTTACTTGGTACTTTTGAAACTAGATCTATGAGATAAAAAGAACACTGTCAACAGTATCAAGAGTTACAGTTGCCGTAGCAGAACTACTTTTGTGAAGTACTGTAAATGTGCCAGAATGATTCTTAAGTATGCAATAGCAGAGCAATGAATTATCCTTGACATTTTCCAACTTCAGGATCCATTTTTGTGAGCAAAGTTGATTTTAAGAGATAAAGTACAAGCAGAAGAAATAATTCTAATGAACCTTACCTGGATATTTGCCCAGGAAATATGAACTAGATTAAAACAGTGTACAACCTTTTGCTAAATACTTCATATGCCTTCTTAACCGCTTTATCTACCTGTCCTGCTTCTTCAAGGGACCAGTGGACATGTGCACCAAGATTCCTGTGATCTTTTGTGTTTCCCAGAGTCCTGTAAGTCATCATGTATTCCCTTGCTTTGTTTGTCCTGCCCAAGTGCATCACCTCACACTTATCCAGATTGAATACCATTTACCACTGATCAGCCTATCTGACCAGCCCATCTATATCCTCCTGTAATCTTCACTATTAACCACCCACCAATTTTCTTATCATCTGTGAACTCACTGATCAACCCTCCTTCATTCAAGACTTAATCATTTATAAATACCACACACAGCCCTGCAAAACACTATTGGATACAGGCTTCCAGTCACAAAAGCACTCCTTGGCCATCATCCTCTATTTCCTGCCAATCCACTAATCTTAGACCCAGTTAGCCAAATCTCCTAAGGACTCTAACCTTTGCTGTCAGTCACCCATGTGGCAACTTGTCAAAAGCCTTGCTGAAGTCCAAGCAGTTTACGTTGAATGCATGCCCTCATCTACACACGTGGTTTTCTCTTCGACAAATCAGTCATGTTAGTCAGACGTGACTTCCCCTTAACGAAACCATGCTGACTGTTCTTGATTAATCACTGCCTCTTCAAGTGCAGATTAATTCTGTTCCTCAGAATATTTTACAATAGTTTCCCCACCAAAGAGGTTGGATTGACTGGCCTGCAGTTTCCTGATTTATCCCTTGCTCCTTTCTTGAATAATGTTACCATATTTTCTGGGAATTTTCTGAAAACACTTCAGCAGAGAGAGAGAGATTTTTCTGTCACCAGTTTTCACTGTTTGTCACCACATATTGATATGTTGTTGGATTAGAATAGTTTCAATAATTCATAAAGACTACTAGCTATAAAATACTTTAACTTTCTGATAACGTTTTTACAGAATGAAAGCAATCTCTTGCACTCGCTTTTTTCCATGTTACTTTGTCATGTTAGTGCAGATGGGGTGAGAGGTAAATTAAACTTTCATTTTCCTTGTCTTCTGTTTGTCAAGTCTGATATTAAGGTAATCTTTAAATTCACTCTAGGGTTATTTTATGCTGGTTTGAATTGTCTTGCCACTTCAAGATGTCTGAAGGTTTTTTTTTAATGGATAACATTTTGGTAGGCAACAAAGCTACATGCATGAACTTTTGTATCACCTATTCATGAGTCATCACATCCTGAAAATGCACAGTTCCTGTACAGCACTCAATCACCCAATATATTCCATAGTTTTGTTTTATAGAGTTCCAAAATTACAGTGTAGTGATCATCCCTCTCCCACTGTCATCAAGCCAGGATACCAACTCTGATTCAACTCT